ACAGAGGTGAGAGGGAAGGCAGCCAAGGGGCGAGCCAATGGCCGCTCACAGGTCATGGGGCCTGGAGATCCGCACAGGCCTGCGGGTGGCAGGGCTGGGGGTCTGCAAAGGGCTGGGGTCTGCAAAGGGCTGGGGTCTGGCTTCTGGAACAAGGTTGCTACCTTCCCAGGGTCACAGGCAGCTCCCGGCGGGGAGGAGGGGCCGCACTTTCCAATGGACGCCTCTTGCAGATGCAGGTCAAAGGTCGCAGGTCCGAGGGCCAATCCAGTGAGGGAGGGAGAATGCTTCCAGGCCCGGACGCAGGTCAGTGAAACCTGCCTATCATGGCACAGTCAGGTCATGGGTCAGAGTCAGGTCATGGGTCAGAGTCAGGTCACGGGTCAGACCTGAAAGCGCGGGGAAGGGTCAGGGGCCCTTGGACGTTAGGGCTGTAATGAACTGAACAAATGACACCTGAGGTGACACCAGGTGAGGGTCTCCGATCCAGGACTTAAGAACTGAGCGAACGATCACAGGTTCACAGATTGAAACTGTGCCTTCCCAGGTCAGAGCCTGCACAGGCTCACATGGGTGCTCCCGGCTCGCCCAGCAGGGGCCCCAGGCCTGCACCTCTGGCTGGTGAAGGCCCTACCCTGAGGGTCAGCTGCATTCCCGCCAACCCAGAGCCCTTGGGCCGGTGATCAGGAGCCTCCTGCCCGTCCTCCGGCTTCCCTGGGGCGGCCCTGACCCTCAGCCCCGTGACGCCAGGGCCCGGGACGGAAAGCGTGTAGCTGAGCATCCGGACACCAGCTGAGACCCGGCGAGGGCGCTTCCCAGGGTCGCTCCGTGCATCCTGGGGACTTTCCGTGCCCGACTGCCCTCCTGGGAGTCCCTGGACAGGACGTGCTCTCCTGTCAGCCCCCGTGTCCGACTGTGGCTTCTCTCCTCCTGGGGCGGTGAGGGAAGAGGGAGTCTGCACCGCACACGGCCTCCCCCCAGTGGGGCCTTCGCGCCCTCCTCCCCCCGCGCTCCTGTAGGTGCCCACTCCCACTCTAAAGCCAGGCGGTGAGTTGGCCTCCACCAGCGCGTCGCTGGGAAAAGGGGAAACACCACCTGCGCCTCTCACAGCTGAAGCTCTGGCTGTGAAGGGCCCCCGGGTCTCGGGAGGGAGCGTGTTTACTGTGGGATCGGCCCCGGGAGCCCAGGGAGGGGGGCCTGTCTGGAGCCCCGTGGCAGCTAGGAGGCAGGAGGCAGCCCCAGCGCTGGCCTGGCCACTGGCCTGCCTGTTCCCAGCCGAGCGGGACACCCGGGAACTTTCTACAAGAAAA